CCAATTCTTGAAGAAATTGTCGTGTTCTTGAGCGTTTACTAGTTCACTCATATCTACTCTTTGTGAGAGTTTCATTTCTGAGTGTTTAAGTGTTTTCATACACTTTAAGGGAGTTTGTTCCCTTGTTGTAAACTCGAAGGAAGTTTCTTGTTCCTTCGTGAGAAGTCTTGGAGTGCGGTATCTCCGAGCAAAGGTGTTGAGGCTCGTGTGACTCTGGTTCTCAAGTTGTATCGGTTTGTTAAGCACCCTTAAGCTTAACGGAGTTAGTGTAGCTCGAGAGAGTCTCTCGGGGGGCTGGATTAGCCACACGTTGTGGTGAACCAGGATAAAATCCGGTGTGCTCCTTCTTTACGCTCTTTACTTTAACGCTCTCGTTTTAATTTCCTGCGATTTTGTTTTAAACGCTATTCACCCCCCCTCTAGCGTTGGGCCTTTATTCTAACATCCTCCAGTTCTGAAAAGTCGGTGACTTCTCCCCCGCCCAGGGGGGAGAACCATCCTCGCCTCCCCAGCAAATATCAAGGGGTATTTTCCCAGATTCCGACGTGCTCCTTGACGGTACCAGGACAGAAACCTCCTCTGGCCATCTTGATACATCCCGTTCCCAGAAGAGGCGCAATCCTACAGAGCCCTGAGGAGTGGGGGGATTATGACATGGGGGGAAATAGGCATCCGTCTACGCGGGGGGGGGAAGGATGGAACCTTCCAGGATCCGCCTCCCCCTTTGGCGTAGGCGGAATGAAGCCGTAAATCCTCCCCTCATGGTTCATTATTCTCATTGCCTTCTTTCGTGGGAATGACTGACTGCGGGGCATGACTTTCAATCCCACCCGTTGGTACCCTTTCATTTTTCTTCTTTTGAAGGATGCATCTAGAGGACAATGGGCTCTCCCCGCACCTCCCCGCTTCAGCATCCTTTTCTGGTCTAGGCGGGGCAGCAAGGGCTAGCGGATTCGCTCCCCTTGCCGCAGTGTTCCCTATGGACCATTGAAGCGCCGTTTTGCCTAGCCTTCAGATTTTTTCGGTAGTAGGATAAAAGTAGATCAAAGACAAAGTTCATTGTTGTAACCCAAAAGAATATAATTTCCTATTTGAGTTATCTAATGAAAAACTCTGTCTCCCGTCTTTTAGCGTTTTCATCGTTAGATCAAGGATAAGGTTCATTGTTGTAACCCAAAAGAATGAAATTCTCTTTATGAGTTATCTAATGAAAACCTTTATCTTCTGTCATTTATTATAATCATACCTTGTGTGCCATCGTCTGCATGAAGTAGAAGTCTATATTTGTTTAACTCTTACAACTCGAGGACGATGCTTCGTCTCGACCCCCTTAAGAGCATTTGGAAAGGAGAATACTTGCCTCATTCTTCCTCCAAAAAACCCTTCATGGGGAAGTGTGATAAACTATTCTCCTTTTGGACCTGGGATTGGCCTGTCTCTTCCCCTTCGGTTCTTTCCCAGAGTAGAGATGGGCCCACCTGAACTGGCCCATGCACCTGAGTGGCGAAACCCTAGTCAAACCTCGGGAACCAACACAACTGCTTTATCTGCCAAGCACCGAGTCTTCCACGCCTTTTAACCATATTCGCTGCTTCCCAATGATCCCTTCCCCTTTATTATAAACGGGGAAAGATGGTCTTTTGCTGTTCAGCATGATAGAAAAAGCCCAGGGTAAGGTTTTCACTGACCTAACCCTTTCTGGTACCTCTTCATCTTCAGATGACGATCTTCCTGCCTCTCCCGCTCAGTCCAATGACATGTCTGGGCTGAGTCCCGGCGAATTCTCAAGACTCTATCCACCACCCTGTCTTCTTATGCCTTCACCTCCCAGTCCACCCAGGCTCCCGTCTGGGACGGTAGACTGGGACTCCATGACCCTCCAAGACTTCACCTTGTACCAGAGGATGCGCAGGGCTAGACTTGGACGTTCTTTTCAGGCCGCAGAGGCAGAACTTTCGCGTGAAAGCCGGACAGCTTCTCCAAACCTGCCATGGTCTCCCAGTGACGGTTCACCATCTGCACCGCTTGCATCCCGACCTGGGACGTGGGAAGACTATGACATGGGTGAGGCTGACGATTCCGCCGCGTATCCTTCGTCAGAGAAAAAGAGCCCGTGGAAAGGGCCCCCTCCTCCTTCCAGCTGACTGCATGGATGCAATTGGCCCTCCTTCAGCGCCTAGCCCCCTGCAGATCAGTTTTTCCTTTTCTTGTTTATCTCAAGAGACATTCACTTGTTCGGTTCGGGAGTTACCCCCCGCGTCCTATGCCAAGGAATGTCCTTTAATTTCAGATTAGGAATAATCGTTGTAATCCAAAGATATAACCTTCGAATTAGCAATCAATGAACTTCCTTATTCCCTTGTTTCTTTCATCTCATTGGGAACCATTACTGTGAACCAAAGATGTAGCCTTTGACCCATCAATATAGCCCCTTGTATTTATTTCTTTGCACATCGTCAAATGCAAGTACAAATGCTTTTACCTTGTATAAAATCTCATCTCCCGGGGTTTGGATGTGTCGTGGGAGCTTACCTCATCTGCCCCTGACCTCTGTTACTCCAGGTTATGGCATAATCTTATCTACCTTGGATCAATTGAGCGCCAACCCTCGAAGTTTGTTTGCTCGGTTGATCCGTGCAAGTGGAATACTAAGCTTCAGTCCTCGAAGTCTGCTTGCTGTTCTTCCTAAATTCCGGGTTGTAAAGGCTCTCGAAGCCCGATCCCAACCTTTCCTTCAAATTTCACAGAGGCATAAACTTATCTACCTCCGGGGGGCGTAAACTTATCTACCTCCCCTATCTTTAGTAGGTGGCATAAACTTTTCTACCTCTCTGTAATGTGGGTCTATCTTGCCCGGGGTGTTCTCCCCCCCCCCCCTTTTTTTTTAAGAAATCTACAGAACAATGGAATTGCAAAGACACTTGGCTTTAGAGGAAAGAAATTCTTTATTGTTGAAACAAATGAGAATGCCTTAAACGAAAAAATAGAGTGCGTCAATTACAAAACAATTTTACTGATAAAATTTAATAAGTGCTCTACATTCCATGTCCTATCTATTTCTTTTCTCTTTGGAGTCATCAACTTGTAAGTACCTGGGCGAACAACGGCCTTGATGATATAAGGTCCTTGATACTTTTTGGCCAACTTTCCACCCTTAGTTGGTTGACTCTTTTCTCGCTTCCTTAGGACGTAATCCCCCACCTGGAACGCCCTCGGTTTCACCTTACTATCAAAGTAAGATTTCACCTGGCGACGGTAATTCTCTGCCCGGATTCGTGCTTCATCCCTTCGTTCCTCTAAGAAGTTCAGCTCGATGGCCTGATTTTGTTCATTCACTTCCGGGTCATATGTCATTTCCCTCCTGGTTGAGATCATCGTTTCAGCTGGTGCCCGGGCTTCAAACCCATAGGCCAGGCCAAAAGGAGTGTCACCCGTGGCCCTTCTTAGAGTGGTCTTGTACGTCCATAGGATTCTGGGTAGTTCGTCCACCCATTTGCTCCCTTCCGACAGCAACTTCTTTTTTATCCCACTTATAATCGTCCTGTTGACGTTCTCCACCTGACCATTAGCCTGGGGATAGGCTACGGATACCTTCGTATGCTGAATTCCCCAGGTTTTGAGGAAGTCTTGGAACTCTGCTTCCTCAAACTGAGTTTCGTTGTCGAATATGATCTGCTTCGGGACCCCAAACCTACAAAGTATATTGGTTCCCACGAAGTCGATCATCTGCTTCCCTGTGATCCCAGCAAGTAGCTCAGCCTCTACCCATTTGGTTAAATAGTCTATGGCCACCAATATCCACCTTGCTTGTCCAATTCCTTTCGGCAGGGCACCCACGATATTGATCCCCCACCTGGAGAAAGGGATCACCGAACTAATGGGCGTGTAATTGGTGGCTGGCCTCCCGGGTATATTTTGAAACTGCTGACAAGTCGGACACTTGCGCACATACTCCTCACAATCCTTCCTCATCGTCGGCCAGAAATATCCCTGGATTATCGCCCTTCTAGAGATAGAGTATGGGCCCTGATGTCCCGCACATACTCCCTCATGTATCTCTTCCATAAGCGCTTTTGCTTCTGCCGCTCTAAGACAGCGGAGTAAAACACCATTATAGGACCGCTTATAAAGGATTCCCTCCAGCTCTTTGTAGGTGGGTGCTCTCATTCGCAACAACCGGGCTTCTAGGGGATCTTCCGGGGCTACCCCGTCCTTAATGTATCTAGCCAACCTGTCTAACCATTCCGGGGGATCGGCTGATACCCAGAGCACTTCATCCCTGTTGAGACTGGGGGTTGCCAACTCCTCCACGGTTGCTAACTTGCTTATATACTCCGGCGATTCAGCGCTAAGCTTGGACAAAACATCAGCTTCTGTGTTGTACGCTCTGGGTATGTGCTCTAGCTTATACTCGAATTTTCCCAACATTTCCAAGGACAAGTCTCGGTATTTCTTCATCCTCTCTTCCTTTGCTTCAAACTCCCCACTGATTTGTCCCACAACCAAGCGGGAGTCACTATATACCTGGACTCTGGACACCCCCAGCTTGCCGAGAATCTTCAATCCATTAATTAGGGCCTCATATTCGGCTTCATTGTTGGACACACGGAACTGAAATCTGATAGCGTAATATATCCGGAAACTTTCTGGAGTGGTCAAGACAATACCTGCTCCACAGGATCGGGACCCGGAAGATCCGTCGATGCTTATCACCCTCAAGTCATCTTCTACTCGGGTGTCAACCCGGGCTCTTGTCATCTCCCTGGCCGTACACTCAACCTTAAAGTCGGCGAGTGCATGCCCCTTGATTGACGGACGCGGCCTGAACTCCACATTGTACTGGCTAATGAAGACCGCCCACTTAGTCATTCGGGCGGATGCCGCTGGGCTTCGCGTAAGTGATGCCAAGGGCTCATTGGTGAGTACCACAATCCGGTGAGCTTGAAAGTACGGGGTTAATCTTTTCGCCGTCCAGAAGACCGCTAACATGGCTTTTTCGGGGCGGGAATACCTCAGCTCCGCATCTCTCAAGGTCTTACTGACATAGTTGACCGGATGTTGGGCCCCGTTCTCTTCTCTTACAATCACAGTACTGATGGCGCAGTCTGCAATTGCTAAGTGTAACGTCAGGACATCCCCAGGTTCCGGCTTGGATAACACCAGAGGACTCGCCAGATACTTCTTCAATTCTTCGAATGCCACTTGACATTCTTGCGTCCACTCAAAGGTCGCCTTCTTCTTGATTACAGTAAAGAATGGGTGCACCTTCTCTTCCACCTTCGAAAGGAAACGATTCAAGGCCGCCAATCTCCCCGTCAACCGCTGGACCTCTTTCGCTGTCTTCGGCGGTTCCATCTCCATGATGGCCCTTACCTTTTCGGGGTTAGCCTCAATCCCTCTTCGGCTAACCATGTGCCCCAGAAATTTTCCACCCTGAACAGCAAAAGTACACTTCTTCGGATTCAACCTTAAGTTTACCTTCATCATGATTTCAAAGACCTGCTCAAGGTCCCGGACGTGGTTTTGGGCCTCTCTGGACTTGACAATCATATCATCAACATAAGCTTCCATGGTTCGCCCCAAGACGGCTTTGAATACCTGAGAAACCATCCAGGTGTATGTTGCCCCGGAATTCCTCAGTCCGAATGCCATCACTAAGTAACAGTACAGGCCCTCAGGAGTCATAAAACTTGTCTTCTCAACATCAGCCAGGTGCATTCGAATCTGATGGTAGCCACTGAAAGCGTCCATGAAACTCATCAATTCTGATCCGGCAGTCTCATCCACCATCAGGTCAATATTGGGGAGAGGAAACGGATCCATTGGACATGCTTTGTTCAAGTCCGTGTAATCGACGCACATTCTCCACGAAGGAGGCTTAGGCGCCAAGACTACATTTGCCAACCAATCCGGGTAATGCACCTCCCGGATGTGTCCAATACTCTGCAAGGTTGTCACCTCCTTCTTCACGAAGTCTCTCCTTTCTTGCGACAAATGCCTCCGCTTCTGCTTCACCGGTTTAGCATTCTGCAAAACGTTGAGACGATGAACTGCGATCTTGTGATCCAAACCCAGAATATCAGCTGGACTCCATTCAAAGACCTCCCAGAATCTCCTAAGAACAGAGATTATTCGTGACCTGAGTTCAGCCCCCAGGCCCTTTCCAATTCTAACCAATCTTCCCGGCATGACTGGCTCCAATACCGAACCGATAAAGTACCGAAAAGAAACTAAACCATACCGAACCAAACGGTCGGTCCGGTATTTGGGAACGGTACGAGGTTACTTCCCATACCGAAATTCCCGAACCGAACATATATACTAATATATTATAAAATAATAATCCTTTTATATTTCTTCATTAAAGAAAAAATTTATATAGATAATTTAGTTTATTTTCATTATGTTTAAGTTGCACTTTAATAAGATTTTTTTATTTTTTGTAGACGAGTATAAGAATATTAACAAATCTTTGAAATAATACTTTGTTATCACTCGTTCTCTCTAGTTTGTGAAATATAAACTAACTTTCATAAGCATTTCTTGCATTTTATTTTTTCATTTTTAAATTTTTTCTTTCTTTGGTTAAATGTACATTCGATTTTTCAAAAATAAAAGGTTTTGTTACATTTTATGATGTAAACTATGTACGTATATATTCATCCCGATTCGTACCGAAACCGATACCGAACCATCCCAAATCATATCGAACCGATGCTTCAGGACCGGGATCGGTACAACGTAAAATCCCATACTGAACCAAAATATTTTGTACGGTATCGGTACGAGCTAAATACCGTACCACGCTCACCCCTAGCCGCACTAGCCCACTTTTTCCGACTTGTGGCCGAATCTCCACCAATGTTCCCACCAATGATGTAATTACACCCATGGTGCCTCTTCTGTCAATGTGGCGCGGGTTCTGAATCTTCCTCTTCATCCTGGAGTCCAATGTGGCGTTTATCCCAGGCCTCGGCTTGGGCCACCTGCCCTTCTCTACGCTTCCCATTCTGAGCGTTCCCGGGATTTCCCCCGTCCGCATCTTGTACAAACTTCTTCAGATGGCCTCGGTGGATTAACCTGGCCATCTCATTCTTTAAGGTATAACAGTCCTCCGTGTTGTCATCGTTCTTGCGGTCATAAGCGCACCATTTCCCAGTGTCCTCCACATTGAAGACCTTCTGGGAATAGGTTGGATATGTCATTAGCCCCTGCTGTGCAGCGTGGGCCATGACCTCGGCCACCGGTAATGTAAACACTGGATTAGCAGATTTGTGCTTCTCCGAGGTCCATCCGGGAAGCCCTGCTTCTTGTTCTTGAAAGGCTTCTTGTTTCCAACCTTCTCTTCTTCCTTGGGAGTCTTCTCTTTCTTCTCCTCCTTCCTCTCCTCCAGGGTCGCATACCTTCCGGCCCGTACCATTGCTTCCTCAAAGGTATCTGGGGGAAGGGTTGTGAGATCAGTATGAAGGAGACCATCTTGCAGTGCTGCCGTGAACATGGCTAACCTGGATTTATCGTCGGTTCCTTCAACCTCCCTGGATTCTTTTCTCCATCTGACGAGGAAGTTCTTCAAGGACTCCCCGTGCTTCTGCCGCACTGAGGCCAAGTGGGTAAAATGCTTTTTGGGACGGCAGTTCCCTGCAAAATGCTCTAGGAACCGCAATCCCAACTCATCCCAAGTCCGGATCGATCCGGCCGGAATGTGATTCACCCAATCCACGACCTTGCTATCAGCCGTCTGCAAGAAACATCGGCACATCAACGCACCGCTGGCATCAACGGCAATCATCACCTGGACATAGCTATTTATGTGTTCTTGGGGATCCGATTCCCCATCATAACGCTTGACAAATGGCACTTTGAATCCCCGAGGATATGGTTCTGCAAAGATCTCAGGGGCGAGCGGAGTATTCGTCCGGGTAGTGAACACTCGTCCCCTGTTTACTTTCCTCTGCATCTCCTGGATCTGTTTTCTCAAATCCTGGAACTCGCCAGCTTCCGGCACTTGTGGCCCCAGACGTTGCGCCGCTGGGACCCTGGCTTGACTTTGAACTTCCTCTTCGTCCAAGACCATCAATGGCCGTGTTGGCGCTTGGCTCCCACCCCGGCCAGTCTACTGTCGGGGTTCACGGTTAGAAGATGCCACTTGGCTAGTCTGGGGTCGCACCTAGCGCTGGGGTGCCTTCTCCAGATTCTTCCCCAGCCTCTCACTAACGTGAGCCCTCTGGTGAGATATCCTTTCAAAAACTGTTCCGCGCGGGTTTCCGTTTCCGTTGCCTACGACTTGACTCACGGCCCTGGTTCGATCCCCATTCGCCCTATTATTCCGGGCCAACTCCTCCGCCTGGCGCCTAGCGATAGCCTGTCTCTCCCTCTCAACCTCCTCCGGGTACCAGATGGGCCAGGCAGAGCCCGATCTAAGCGCTCCATAATGTTGGCCATCATGTTAGCCACATTATTCAACGCCGTTTCCAGCCCATTGACTAGAACAACCATGCCTTGTTCAGGCTAGTCGCTCCTCACCGTTGACTGGGCGGAAGCGGCGGTATTACGTCTAGTCCTTCGTCCGGCCATAATCTCACAATTTCGTCTCACAGTTAACTCTCAACAAGAGCACCAATGATGGGATTAACCCGATCAGATGGCGGACCAAGAACAGAATAAGAATCAGGAAAATATAATCTCGCAATAATATTCTTAATTGGGTCTGTAATCAATTCTCTTTCTTCCCCTCTTTCCAATGGCGGGTTCTTCCCCCTTTTATAGTACCTCTAATTCCTCAGCCAAGGTTACAACATTATGGAAGGTTTATGGGGATCATGGGGTCGTGATTCCCTTCCTTTCCGGTCTTGATTTTTTTCCATTTCCCCACGATTTGGAGCGTGGGCCATGTGTCCTGTTCCTTTCTCGGACCGGGTCGTCTCAGTCCAGCCCATGATTGGGCCGTCCGCCTCGTTGCCCCTGCGCACCTTGTTGGGCCTGATCCGTTACGCGCACCTGAACTCGCACGATTGTGGGCCTTTATCGGGCCTAGAGTCGGGTCCATCAGACCCGATATCCAACATAACCGAACAAATAAACTTTCTAAAAGAAGAAATCAAAACCATAAAAATTGAAGAAAAATTAGAGACTAAAGAAATACAAAATAAACTAAACAAATACAAGACGAATTTGAGAAAAATTTATGTTTTGATTTACCAACTGCATTTTGGGAAAGAAAGAAACATGTTGTTACTCTTCCATATGAAAGAGATTTTAACGAAAAGAATATACCGACAAAGGCTAGACCAATTCAAATGAACCAAGAACTGCTAGAATATGGTAAAAAGGAAATACAAGATTTATTAAACCAAGGACTGATTAGGAAAAGCAAGTCACCATGGTCATGTGCTGCATTTTATGTCAACAAAAATTCAGAAATTGAAAGAGGAGCGCCTAGACTAGTCATAAACTACAAACCATTAAATAAAGCATTAAAATGGATTAGGTATCCAATTCCCGATAAACAAGATTATTAAAAAGATTATACCAAGCACATATATTCTCAAAATTTGATATGAAATCAGAAGATAAATATAAGACGATATTTACTGTACCATTTGGACAATATGAATGGAATATAATGCCATTTGGTTTAAAAAATACACCAAGTGAATTTCAAAACATTATGAATGAAATATTCAATCCTTGTAACTTTATTATAGTTTATATCGATGATGTTCTAGTCTTCAGCAATGAAATTGACCAACACATTAAACATCTAAACGTATTTTACAAAGTAATTAAAAAAAATGGATTAGTTTTATCAAAACCAAAAATGAAATTATTTCAAACAAAGGTCTAATTTTTAGGACATGAAATAGATAAAGGAACAATAACTCCTTTTCATAAAGCAATTGATTTTGCAGAAAAATTCCCAGACGAAATAAAAGACAAAAATCAGTTACAAAGATTTCTAGGATCTCTAAATTATGTTGCAGACTTTTTTCCAAATCTTAGACAAATGTGCAAACCATTACTTAACAGCTTAAAAAAGGATCTTAAGCCATGGACAGAAGAACATATGAAAATCATTCGAACAGTAAAAAAACATGTCAAGACATTACTATGCTTAAACATATGTGACCCTAAAGCCCCAAAAATTGTAGACCAAAGGATACGGTGGAATATTGAAACAAATAATAAATAATAAGGAACATATTATTAGATACCATTTAGGAATTTGGAATTGTACACAAGAGAAATATTCGACAATCAAAAAAGAAATTTTAGCAATAGTTCTTTGTGTGACAAAGTTTCAGAGTGATTTATTAAACCAAAAATTCACAATTAAAGTTGACTGTAGAGCTGCAAAAGATGTCTTAACCAAAGATATCAAGAATTTAGCCGCAAAACACATTTTTGCTAGATGGCAAGCTTTATTGCCTATTTCCGATTTTGAAATTGTTCATATAAAGGGGAATGAGAATTCTATTCCCAACTTTCTTACCAGAGAATTTTTGCAGGGGAAAGGATGAGTTCAAGGACCAACAATAGCGGATCATTATCAAATCAAAAAAACTGACCAATCTCTAACCAAAAACGAAATTGTGTATAACACAAAAATTCCTCTAAGAAAAATTACACTACGACCAATGACAAAAATTACAGAATCATTATCAGAACAAAAAGTTTCGACCAATGAGAAAATTACCAATTACTCTTTACCGTCCAATTGTACTACAAATACATTTTCGATGAAACCACTTTTTAGACCTAGTGCACCAATTTCTCAGACAAAAATTGAAAAAAAAATTTCTCCTTTACAGTTTCCTCCATTACCATCACCTCCCAAAACTCAGCCACAAACCTTCAAACAAATCTTGAAATCCAACACTCCACCTCTCCCACATACAAATTCTCCTTCTACAAAATTAGCAACACAAAGTCCAAACCCTCCCCGCAGAATATGTCTACAAACCAATTGAAGAACATGTTTGTACCATTGAACCAAAATACCTTCAGGGTCCGTTTGGTATAAGGAATTGGTGGAATTGGAATTGAATTGGAATTGAAATTCCATGGGATTCAATTCCATAGAATTGAATTCTGTCAATTTTAATTCATTTTTTGCACTATCAACTCCAAATCCACATAATTTTTGTACTACCAAACACCAAAATTGGAATTGAAATCCCCAATTCCAATTCCATAGTTTGAATTCCATGTACCAAACGGGACCTCAAGCAAATCCAAACATTACTTCTTACCAAGACTGTGAAACAATAATCTCATTTCTATATTCGAGACAACTTCAACAAAAGCCAACAATTTTATGAAACCATTTTAACCACAACCAATTCTGTTTGTTTCCAATATATCCTTGACCATACAAATCCTGCAAAAGCCAGATACTACAAAGTGTGAATTTTTAAAGTTTTAACTATTTTAGACTTGGGACAAGAACCCCAAAAAGTCAAATATTTTTTCATGGCCAATGGACAAATTCAAAAATTTAATTACTACGATTCTCAAACTGCATGTAACACCCCAACCCGCGTGACCCGAACCGACGAGTTAGCGAATCGGGTAATTACTAATTCGGTACTCACATGCATAATATTTTAAAACATTTAATAATAAAACATCAATTCACATTTATTTAAAATCAATTCATAAATAATCAGAGTAAATAATTCAAATATTGCGAAAGCCTTTAAAACAACAGCATCAAACATTCTTGTAGTTTAACAAAATAAAAGTCAACAAGTATTCAATTCAATTTCAAACAGCTTCGGGCCATCCACCAGCGTCACGCTTCACTGTCCTCCAGGTTGCTCCTCGTCTAAACCTTGACCCCTACCTGTAAAAATAGGAAGAGTGGAAGTATCTAACGCTAGAACTAGCTCATAGACTAGCACCCATTAACATATAGTCATACATTATCGGAAGAACCCGTATTTACAATTATCAAATAGTATAATCTGTCATTCGTTTGTTCGTACGTCCGTTCGTTTCAGGTCCTTGTGTATTGTTACCATAATTAACATATTCAACTAGAGTCTAACTAAACACACTAGTCATGGACACTCTTGGAAAGATGTCCAAGAGACCAAGCTTGTAAACCCAATGGAAGGTGTCCAATTGGGCGGGTTGGAACCCCTACCACGGAGGTGCCGAGGCAGGTCGCAGACTCCCGTACGTACGCTTTAACCCTGAAGACCATCAGATGTACGCCGACACATGCATGACCTTAAGTTTCAAATCATTTGTGCCATAATTGTTTCAAATATTCAATTCAACCCGGATCGACCTAAGTGTACTAGGTGACATATTAACCATATCAGTTCAACACATAATTACTACCGATTCATTAGTTTTGTAACTTTGTATAGACTTGTGATCATTAAATAAATTTTAGGATCAAATATCCAAATCGCAAATAACTTGAAAATCAAGGGGTTAATCTATAAATTTTAGAACTTCAATCATATTTCCTATTTGGAGGCATTGAAGCACATTGGATCGTCGTTAGCGCACAACCTGACATTCCTTTAGCGATGATCGGCGACAACAGGAAGATGAACCGAACCCAGCAGCGGCAGTCGACGTAGGGACGGGGCTTAAGCACCACAGCGGAGGAACGTCCAGCGTCAGAGTGGCAACGAACAACGAAAGAAAAAGAACAGAGAGAAGGAGCGAACAGAACAGAAACCAGCGGAAGAGGAAGGTGCAGAACCGAACAGAGCAGCGGTGAAGAACAACATATCAAATCCGAAAATTCAATTCAATCCCAACTTCTCAATGCAGTCAATTAACCAACCAGAAATCTTAATCACAAATTCAACTTCAATTGAATGAAAATATATTAACAACTCAATTCAATTGACGGAAGAATCTCAATTTACGTGATGTAGTTTCCCAGCGAATTGTTCCGGCGATTTCCCTCCCCGGCGGTCTCACTCGCTTGACTGGTTACGAATTGGAATTGGCGAAGAACGAAGAAGAAGATCGCGTCTCTAGCTGTCCTCTCTAATTCCCACTGTTATGTCCGCGATCGGAAGGAAAGAAGAAGTCCGATCGGCGAAGTTTCCCCACTCTTGTTGCGTGTGAAACGAAGGAGAAGACCGTATTTATGCCTCACAGATCCGTTTCTTTCCCTTATTATTATTATCATTATTATTATTATCATTATTAAATCTCTTCCCATTAATTTATTGAACTCTATTGACTATTTTCCTCACACGGTTCACACGAAATTATAACCTTAACAAACAATATGCCGTTGGACGTCTTTTCTCGAGACTTATCCAAAAATCTAATTTTTAATTAAAAAAGTCAACCTTACAAATAATTCATATTTGGAGTCAATAAATAGTATATTTATTTGTCATTAAAATAACGGGTCACTACTAAGCCGGTTTTCAGAACGTTACACTGCATGTTAGAGAGCTTTTTATAAAAATAATGACAATATTCCTATCTCATATTTCTTATTTTTCAATGATGATTTCCACTATCCTGTTCCATATTGGTTCCATAATTGGTGGGCCAAATTTGGTATTGATCAGACCATTGCTCCAAATGAAGTTCAGCTTGCTAAGGACCATTTCTATGACCAAAATGAATTACAAGAAGAAATTGAATTATCTCCGTCTTGGATGGTATTTAGTCAAATTTTCAAGGTCCCATAAATCATGATGATTGAATACCAAATCAAGGACTAGCGTGTTGCAGAATTTGAGCTACCAATTCTTGTCAGAAAATTCAAGACCAAATGGTGGCCTAAGACAGATTTGGAAGGCTGCAACAAAAAAGCAATTGACAAATTCTTCAAGGATTCACCACAATACTGCAAAAAACCAAACTATGAAATTGTGACCAAGAGCGAAATTTTCCAGGCAAAAAAGAGAATTTATGGCAAAAATGGCAGCATGCAAATCCGAAGACAAATATGAAATTTTTTTAGCAGAATTCGAAGAAAGCAATAGTGCCGCGAGTTCCATCCACATTGACAATCCTGTAGAGGAAAATGATGATTTTTTTCTCTGAAGCTGAGCTGTAAAAGTGACAAAATAATACGCTCCCCCAAAAAACAAAGTACTCCACCAAGTTATATACTCCCTCCGTCCCTTAAGATGTTCTCATTTTGACTTTTGGTGGTTTTTAAGGAGAGTTGAAAAAAGGTGAAAGTTTACCATAATACCCTTAATGAAAAATGGATGAAGTGTATTAAATGAGGTGGGTGAGGTGTAATAAATAAAGTAAATGGGGGTAGTTGTGGTATTTTAATTGTTAAAAAATGAAATGAGAAGATCTATTGTGGACAAAGAAAAAGGGCTATTGGGAAGATCTATGGGGGACGGAGGGAGTATATATATATATGATGGATTAGGGATTTTTCCTAATCCAATATTATTTGAACAGTACAAGAAAGCCCAATTTTATCTGGCCCAAGATATAAATCAGATAAATTATTCAAGACAGAACCAGAGATATATGGACAGAAGAATATATTTGAAGTGATGTGGAGACATTTGGCGGGACCCGTGGAACACTACCACATGGAAACCACATGCCGCACATGGGCTTCACATGGACAATGTCCCCTCTTGTCTCCATCAATTATTTCCTTCTCCCCTTTAAATGCACGCTACGAAGGAGGGAGGTGAGGGGCCAAATAGTCAACAAGTCCCTACTATTATTCTTCATTCTTCTCCTTTTCTTAGCATGGAGCTCCATTAATGGCTCCAAGCTCCTACAGTGATGCATATGTAAATTCCCCCGAGATTAATAAAAGTTCCTCCCCATTTGGCATGGCACCGCCTAAAAAGGCCTGTGGTTTTCTCCCGATTTGGGTTTCCACGTATAAATACTTTCTCTCCGTTTATTTATTTACTTAATTTCCGGATTTCGCTATTCGGTGCGATGCCGACCCGGT